ATATATACACGATAGTATCTACCTCAAAATTGCTGGCAATATTTTAAAAGCACCTGACTCATAGTGAGCATTCAGAAAATGTAGCTTTCTTAGTCCTCATCCCTATGTCTTATTATCACTGATAGAGTTAACCATGTAAACAAGTAGGAAATTACTAAAATATGATGACTAAATCTATTTTTCATCCTTGTCTTCTGCCAACAACCATATTAGTCACATATCTCATTGCATATTCATGAGATGACTCAATCTTCTTATGCACCCTAACAGATATGTGATAAATATCTTGTATTTCTGGATATTTTTCTACTTTAAAGATGAAAAAGAATCAATAATTGGCATTTGTATCAAAATTATCTTTTAAAATTCATGATTAAACAACAAAGGAATTCATGACACAAACTATTTTTACATTATCACCTGTGACAGACTAGCAGAGTGTTTACCAAACTTTTCTTCTGAGCACAGTGGTAAACCATACTATCTACACTTTGTTGAAATTAAGCATGGCCAAGTGGCCAAGATCTGGCCAAAGGACTGTGAGTGGAAATGATGTATACCACCACTTCCAGGCCCAAATCTCAAAGGACTCTGATATGCCAGGCAATTGCAAACTATAGAGCTAAATAACCGTACTACTCAGTTTCCATGTTTCTTTGTACATTCCACTCTTTGGTTTCCTTGAAAACCCAAGAAAGTGGAATCAAGCTCAGAAGGAGCTGGGGTTACTCAATCTCCATGTATAGGACAGCCACCTGTCAATAAGAAACACTCATTTTGACTTTATGTGAGAAATAACCTTCTGTTGTGTTAAATCACTGACATTTTGGGACTTAGCTATAATCACAACCCAGATTATTCTAATATATTTACTAAAGTACAGAATTTCTTCACATTACCATCAAAATTATATGTGGTTAGAAAACACAATTACGTTATAGTGCTTTCCAACTGAAGAGGCCAAAACTGGTTTTGTGTATTCTGAAATCAACAAGATCTTCAACATTTAAAAAGTCAACTCATTGTTGTTCCAGTGCCACAGAGCCTACTTCCGACTTGTGGCAAAGAGCCCACCGGTCTACTTTTATCAGTTTTTAATCCTTTCTCTCTTCAAAACTATTGTTTTAGATTAGCTTTTGACATACTTAATATTCTCTGTACAAAGAGCTATAAAGAAAAATTCACCTAATAAAAACTAAGATTAAAAGTGCAGATGGACAGAATAGGTAATATATTTATGATTTTAGATTATACTGTATCTCACATATCAAGACAAATCTTCCTATCAGACTATATCTCAAAATAAATGTCAAACAAAGAAAAGTGCCAGCTTTCAGGGAAAAGTGTAAGTTTCAATTTGTCAGTAATTATATCTTTCCATTCAATATGATAATCTAGTAAGACCAAGAAGTTTGTTTACCTGATTGTCACACCTCAGGTGGCTGACACTGGTTGAAATACTCCACTGAGTTTTAACTGAAATTCTAATCCTTACATGTGCTTAGTATGTTCTTAGTTGATAGCATGATCCAGCAATAAAATTAAAAGATGATTACTTGACACACTCTAGGCAATGTAAATTGCATAGCTAAAGAAATGGTATACTCAAAAAAAAAAAAAAAAAAAAAAGAAATGCTATACTCAATTCAGTATTTTCTTTGTATTTTTAATACACTGTTTTTCCAGGTCCTTTTGCTTTTATTATTAAATTAATGGTGCACCTTAAAGTCAACAACATAGTAGAATACAAGAAATACAGTAATTGTGCGAGTGATTATTTATGACAAATATTTATAATAGGATGAGTTACTAATAAAGTAGTAAAAGACTGTATGTAAAAGATGAAACTAACCCTTTGTCTAAATAGCTATCAAAACTTTCTAAGAAACGATTAAGTTTCAAATATTCTATAAACAGAACAGATAAAAAAAGGAAAAAAGGGTATTTCTAGTCTGCAGTTTATCAGCGAAATGAATAGAATTGAGGGAAAGTTACATAAATGGTTAGCCAAGAGGATAAGAGCAAGTGGAGTGGATGCTATCATTCTCTGTTCATTCAACTTCTTCAATATCCCTTTGCAGTATTTACTCAGTTGCATGAACAAAGGAGAGGATCAACTCAACTTTACTGAGTGCCTTATTACAACGCAAAGTTCTATGCCAAGTAGGCACTATGAGAAGACAGAACTATGAACAATCAAGATCCCAATCTTCAAGGAGCTTAAATTTAATAAAGGTTGTAAAACATAAGTCACAGCTGAAATATAATGCAACAGGCAATTAATATCAACAGGGAGGTACAAGCAAAATCTGATAGGTACATTAAGGGAACAGAATGTTCCATAAAGAGAAATGGGAAAACTTAGAATTTGAGCTAGAGATTGAAGAATTGAGAGTAGAAGGGGTTAGGTAGGAGGAAGCTGGACAAAAACTACTGACAAGAAAGAAAAGACCAAAGTGTAAATGTCATTCTAAGGAATCCGAATTTCACTGTACAGAATGAAAAACCACTGAGTTTTACAAAGGTATAATAAATTAATTGGAATTGTCCTTTTAAGATTTCTCTGACAGCATCTATAAAATAAATGGGTTGAGGCAGCTGAATGAGAATGTTTACGTGTGTGGGGGGCAGAAACTAAATAAACTCAATATACTTAATAGGATGATATAATAATCTAGGCGAAAAGTTAAGTAGAGTCTGAAATAGGGTTAGTCTCCAGAAACTACAAAGAGGGAGATAAATATGAGTTTCATTACAGGTTCAAATAGGGCTTGTTAACTGATTAAATATTAGGTAGAAGATATTTTTAGTTCATTTTTTTATAAGATAAAACTAGGGTATGGACTTTAATTAAAATAAAATATAAATAGTTCAGAGTGACATTAAATGAAAATGTATCTTCTCCTTATTCTTAGTCCCTGAATATAATCGTTTCTATTTTTACTTCTTCAACTGGCTTCTACAGTAATTCTAATTTATAAGGAATTCAATCTCTTGATAACATATACAGAGACAAAAATTTTTTGTGTATAATTTATAGCAGTTTAAAAATAGGAAATAACATAAATGTTCAACAGAAGAGTAGGCAAATTTATAATATAAATACCAAGATGAATGAACTAAGGTTATATGTATCAATATAGATAAATACAAAAATGTTAAGTGAAAAAGCAATGTGTAGAAGGTTATGATATATCCATATTACAATTAAATAGATGAAAGCAATACTATACATTGCAAAACACATATTAAAGTATAAACACATGCACAAGTATCATAAACACCAGATTTAAGAGAGGAACAGGAAATGTATCTTTTATTTTTATTTCTTAAAAAATAAAAAGCTCTGAAGCATATGAGGATGTTACACAAATACTTGTTTTATTGTTCTCTATAACTGTCTTTTTAATTGAAACATTTCAAACTTCTTTTTAGAACAAAAAAGCTTACATTAAATATAAAATGTATTAAAACTACCCTTCTATAACCTACTAATTCTTTTTAGTATCACTTCAGAAAAAGCTATTTTCTTCTGATACTATTTATCATCCTACTGACCTCTGCTGGTCCAACAGGGGAGAAGATACTGCAGATGTCTTCCTATCTTTCTTGCTAGCTGAAGACGATTTCGGGCTTGATTTTCGCTTCGGAGATTTGCTAGACTTTCTTAGAGAAGGTGATGGGGACAATTTTGATCTAACCACTTCTGGTGAAACCTTTAAAAAAATTCAGTAAGTCAATTCAGAAATTCCTCCACTTATGGTACAACAAGGCTTACAGTATTTTAGAATCACATCAAACTTCAGATTAAAATTAAATATTATTGCTGGGTGCAGTGGTTCACACCTGTAATCCCAATTTCTCGGGAGGCTGAGGTGAAAGGATTGCTTGAGGTGAGGAGTTTGAGACCAGCCTGGGTAACATTAAAAAAACCCTATCTCTTATACAAAAAAAAAAAACAAAAAAAAAAAACCAGGCATGGAACGTGCCTGTGGACACAGCTATTAGGGAGGCTGAGATGGGCGGATCCCTCGAGCCCAGGAGTTCAAGGCTGCAGTGAGTGCCACTGCACTCCAGCCTGGGTAACAGAGAAAGATCTCATCCCCACAAAAAAAGTTTGAAATAAAAATAATAAATTACAATAGCCACTATCTGTTGATATTAGTCTGACTCCTGAATCCATGATTTTAAGCAATATAACTGTTCTAACATATACTAGTTTCAATTAAGTAAATTAAAATCATAAAATTTCAAAATCTCCTCAGAAAAATCATAAATGATATTTAAAATAACTGTATCTTCACTTTTCAGAAAAGAAACAAGGTATTCTAGAAATAGCATGGGCCTGAAACAGACATATGTAGATTCAAACCCCATGTTACATTAGCTGGTGACTCTAGGCAACAAACTCTCAGCTTTGCTCATCTATTCAATAACACAAATATTTGATACTTATCTAACAGAATAACGTGAAGATTAAATGAATATATATGGAGTAGTACATATACAGTGGGTTGATCAATATATCAGTATGCTAGTATAATTTAAGATGTAGCAAGAAGCTGCATTATCTGATCAATACAAATGCTGCTATTAAGTACTAACATATTTATTGCAATAAATAGCATACCTCCTTTTTAATGATAATTTCTTCTCTCTTCTCCATGTTTTCTTGCTCCAGCTTCATTAATTCCCTCTGTATCTTCTGACGCTTCATTTCCAATGATAATTCATGAACATAATCATAATTAATATCTCCATTGTCAGAATCTTTAAAATAAAATTGCATTACTGTTATAAACTAGCATAATTATCTATGCCAAAAATCATACAGACTTTTTTCAACTAATTTCTTATGCAAATCTAAATGGCAGAGTCTTTCATCAGAATGACATACTTCTAAAAGATAAAAGAAATAGATACCATTTCTATAAAGGATTAAAATCACCATGGTTGATTTCTTTAAGAAAAGTCAAATATTTTTAAAGTTTCTGGGTTTTCTGGAAATAGTTTTGGGTTGGTTGCAAGTTGGGTTTTTTTGTTAGGAGATGGAATTTTAAAAGACAAAAGGCGCTCAGTTGCATTTCTAAGCCTTAAAGATACCAAAACCTTCAATATTTCATGCTGTATGTGATGTGACTCATTATCTCCTTGATTTTCCTAAAGACACACTACTAAAATACATCATTCAAAATGAGGTTATATTACATGTGCAACATTGCTTCTATAGGCTTGTCAGTTTTAAAATTTGTGAGACAACTGATTAACATCAAAAACTAAAGTAATATTAGTACTAATGTGTACATAAACTAATTTTTAAGGATTTATAACATTTTCTTCACAAGTGATTTGTACTATTTCCTTAGATCACAACCGTCCATCTCAATGGATCTGATGCCATATTTCTATTTCCATTTAATATTTTCTGATAAAAAGCTATGAAGATTGGTTAAAAAATCAAAAAGGAAGAGTGGTGTGTAGATCTATTTCATTAAAATATGTAGAAGTTACTGGCACTAGCACCCAGCCCCATCACCCTCATCTGCCAGAAATGCCCAGGAGCCTAGAGGTGGGAATTTCATTGACCACGTTGGATTTGACTGATCACAAACTGAGGTGCCTTCTCAAGCTATACTTCTAGCACTTTAGATCATGTCTTAACCTTGGGTAAAGAAATAAAATGAAGAACTAAAAAACAACAAACATAAGAAGTCCTACTTGACTGCTTAAAACCCAAGAAAATGAACATTGCTGTTATATATTGCTCAAATGCATTAGAATGACAACTATTCATCATTCATGCTTGGGGACCGAGAGGGTAACCATATATATTCACTCCCTTTGTGACTAAGCTTGATATATTACTCATCTTATGTTGAAGAACGATGACAATTTCTCAGCAAATATATGAAATAGGCTAAATTATGCTTTTCAGTCAGAAAGCAATTACTAAATAATTAAGGGCAAGTAGTTTTCACTAGATAAAATGAAGATATTGAATTTAATTAAGTGAATACTAGCTATCTCCAGTTATTATTTTGTCCTCTATGGAGATACTTTACATCAGTCAATAATAGGAGTCAATGATCTAGTTTGATTATGTTCTTAAATTCAATAAAATTCCATAACCAAACGCCCAGGTAAAACAAAGGAAAGAATAGTTAATAGAGAAGAATGATTAACAGTGTTTCTGAAGGTACTGTGTTATCAATAATGCACTGCCAATCTAATAATTCGCAACTAGAAATATCACCAATACAGGACACATAAAAACCAGCTTTCAGTTCTCAATCTTCAACTATCCAACCAAGGGGGAGAGGCCTGAGCAGTTAAAATATATGTCTAAGTCAGTCAGGCGCAGTGGCTCACGCCTATAATCTCAGCACTTTGGGAGGCCGAGGAAGGCAGATCGTCAGGTTAAGAGATCGAGACCATCCTGGCCAACATGGTGAAACCCTGTCTCTACTAGAAATACAAAAATTAGCTGGGCATGTTGGTGTGCGCCTGTAGTCCCAGCTTCTCAGGAGTCAGAGGCAGGAGAATCGCTTGAACCCGGAGGTGGAGGTTGCAGTGAGCTGACATCACGCCACTGCACTCCAGCCTGACGACAGAGCAAGACTCCGTCTCAAAAAAAAAAAAAAAAGTCTAGTCAATGTAGTAAACATAACTAATATAGTTTGCTCAGAAGAAAAGCTCTCAGGTCTTTATTCTGAAGGTGCTTATTTTATGCATATAATAAAAA